TTTTTTTACACTTTAGAAGATTTTCACAATATCAGAATAATGATTGCGTTTTCAAGGTTTCCAGATCCCGATTGCGAATACTCAGTATATCGGAATGGTCCATATGGGCCTAAGGTAAATGGGTGAGTTTTTTCAAGTAAATAAGCAGGTTATTTTTGCGTAGCGCGGGGAAAAGGGGAGGGGAGGGGGAGAGGGAGAGGCGGTTTTCTGCTATCTTAAGAAGAGAATCTTGGAATTGGTATTGAAAAAACGCAGGATTCATCTCTTCACCCTTCCCTCTCTTGCCATCTTAGTCTTTAAATGGGTGGCAAAGAATGCAAGATTTAATTAAAAATTCAAGTTTGCGGCAGGTGAGGAGAAAAAAGCAGATGGGAAGGAGGGGCGATTGAAGGAAAGGCTTGTTTTTCACGAATCGTGCTTCACCCCGCGACATTTCAGCACGTTTTAAAGCTTGTGAAAAAAGTTGATTGCAATTAAAATTCTTTGCTTAGAACGAAAAGGATTCCGAAAGCTATATAAAACCTACATCAGCTTTCTACCATTCCATCAATATTAAATTTATAGCAAAGTTCGTGTTGGTGATGTTGTTTTCCACTCATGGAAATGCAGCTATGGAGCACTTGATAGCAGTATGTATTGTCTAATGGTCAATAATTGCACCGTATCAGCCGATCAACACACTTCATCTCAAAGAGTATGCGTGCAAAATCAATAAATCACTTATTAATTCCTTACCTTCCACAAATAGGTGCCCATACTGGACGAGTTCGGATGTTCACTTTTTCCCAACATCCTACCACATGTGGAGTATCCATCAGATCTCAATGGTGGACTACTAGTGCATGCTTTTTCACTTGATGTTGATCAGGTAAAAATAAACCTTACCTTTAGTAACGCGGTAGTCCCACATCTCAAACACATTATAGGCTGCAGTCTTCTTCGAATGCAACGTAAAACTGCTTCTGAAACTGAATGGTATCTGTAGGAGGCCCACCTGTCCACCGTTAGAAGAACTACGAGGAGCTCGCAGCCGCTTCCGTCGACGTCTTGGAAAAGCTTAAGCGCTATTCTGCGCCTATTGTGGAATAGGATAGAAGCCAATATAGGCGGAGCACGTACTACTTCAACTACAAGCTCAACCCATTTTGAGAATTTTTTTCATAAAACGTGAATGCTGTCT